TTTTGAGTTCCTAAAATTGATTAACCTTCATTCATTTGTGTTCAATACATATTGAATGCACACTTACAAAAATGGGATCCTTTGCAATATCTACATACTGCTATCAAAAGTGTTTTGAAAATTCTGAATACACCACTAGTTCTCCTTATTAACTTTGCTAGAGTCATCCTCAAAAAACTGTATCAGGTTTGTCAAACATGATTCCCTTCATAAATCTGTCAAATTAGAATTATTTTCTAAATATGCAGTGCTGACATTCCTTATAATAGATTCCAACATTTTCCCTGCGACTGATGTTGAGCTAACAGGTCTCTAATTTGCTGTTTTCTCTCTCCCTCATTTCTCTAACAGTGGGCTTACACATCCAACCATCCAATCTGCAGGCACTGTTGCTGAATTAATGAAATTTGAAGATTGCTGATACATTTTGTCAAAGCTTTATATTTTGCACTCGTCAGGACAATTCACGAGGAATACCAATTCGGGGGAAAATCAAAATTCGTGCTGAATGAAAGGAGAATGATGGTTGGTTGGCAGTTGACTCGGATTTGTGCGCACTTTCAGTAAACCCTGGATCTTAATTATTTCAGGGAGATTTCTTGTGTTGTCCTTTGTGAAGAAAGATACAAAATATTCATTTCGCTTCTCTGTCATTTCTTTATTTCCTATTGTAAATTCTCTGTCTTCACCTGGAATGAGTTGATTCGTTTTTTTTAATCTTTTCTTCTTTACATAACTATAGAAGCTTTTGCAATCCACTTTTATGTTTCTTGCTATGTTCCATTCATGTTCTATTCTCTTTCATTATCAATTTCTTGGCCTCCTTTGATGAATTATATATTTTTTTCTGATACTTAGGCTTGTGCTTTTTATTTTGGCAACTATAAGAGTCTTTTTGCTTTTATCTAATACCACCTTTCCTTCCCTAGTTAGCAATGGTTTTCCATTTTTTCCTATTGGCCATTTTGCCTTACAGGAACATATGATTTGTAAACCAAGCATTAGTGCTTTGTATATGAACCATTGTCTGTCTACCATCAAACCTTTTAATGTACTTTTCCAATTTACCACAGCCAACTACTTCCTCATATTTTCACAATTGCCTGTATTTAGATTTCAGATCCAAGTTTCAGATTGAATATATCTTTTTCAAATTTCATGGAAGTTTCCATAATTCTATGGTCACTATTCCCTTAAGGTTCTTTTTTAAACAAGATCATTGATTAGTCCTTTCTCAGTCCATAATAATAGATATAAAATAATCTGCGCTCTATCGGTTCAACTAAGATTTCTACTAACTCCTTATATGGAGTGGTGCTACAAAGTTAGTTATTAAGCAGAGCTTTGAAGCACCTTGAGATATTTTAATTCTTTAAGGTATTATATAAATGCAAGCAGTAGTTGTTTTAAATGAGGAAAAGGAAGGCCGGCTAACCAATCGGTCAGTAACCAGAGGACACAAAGCTCAGGATCAAACCTTCTATTCTGGGTGTCTCAACACTACACCGGTTACTTGCAAAACCAATGGAAGGTGTTCCACCGCATTTTATTCATAACAACATAATACAACATTGGAGCAGGAATGGCTGAAATAATTTAACAGTCCAGACCATGTGTAACTTGCAGTACTCAAGACATTCATTCCCGTCTGATGATAAGAAACAAAAGAGAGATGGATGGCAGCCAATTTCATTCACCTCAGGTGGACGGAAGGAATCCAAATGAAAGGAATGCTCATTCTTTAATAACAGAGCCAGGTGAGCATCAGTGAGTCACCTGGCATGGATTACAGTCCAGCAGATTTCTGCTTTGGAGGCTTAGCTGGATTGGTGCAAAGTGAAAAAATTAGGCCAAATAATCTATGAAAACAAAACAATTATTTGGCAGCCCAGCTACTAAAGACTTATAGGAACCTCTCCGGGAAAATGTGCAAAGGTTTACTCAATTATGACAGAAATGAGAGGTTATGCCTACCAGGAAGGCTTGAACAGGTTGAAGTTCTTTTCTCTAGAAAACAGAAGGCTGAGGACCTGTGAGACATTGTTAAGGTTATGAAAGGGTTTCATAACCTTGATGTAGGGAATATGTTTCTATTTGCAGGGGAGGCCAAGACGAGAGCCCATAAATATAAGATAGCCACTAATAAGTCCATTAGGGAATTCAGGAGAAGCTTCTTTGCACTAAGAGTGATAAGAATCTGCAGCTTGTTACCACAAGAAATAGTTGAGGTAAAAATCCTGTACGAATTTAAAGGGAAACTAGATAAGCACATGAGGCAGAAAGGAATAGAAGGATACGTTGATGAGGGGTTGGATGAAGAAGGATGGAAGGGACTTCATTTGCAGCGTAAAAACCTATAGTAACTTGTTTTTGTATTGAAAATACTAGATCAACCAGAGAACAAAGAGAGTACAAGTTTGACTTAAACTATGATTTGCCCCATGGCAAAACGGCCTTTTACACTAGACTTTGACATGAAGACAAATTATTTGACTCAACAAGTGTGGGGCATTCCATTCACATGAAACATAGTCCCAGCATGGGTCAACTCAATAATGTGGGCAGAGGGATGGCAGGAGTTGGAAGATCAGCAGGAATTGAATGCTACAATAAAAACATAAAGTGCTGGAGAAACTCATCAGGTCTGGCAGCTACCATGATGAGAGAAACAGAGCTAACATTTCGAGTCCAGTATGACTTCTTCAGAAAAGAAAGATACGCTAATTTGATAACATCTATAATCCAGAACACCTATAATCCAGATGTTTCACCTCCAAATTCTAGCCTAACTTAAAAAAGCCCAGTATGGTCAACTATGGAGTGTAGGGTTATTGTAATACATAATTCTGAGAGAAGTATAGACAGATAACACCATCAGGGAAAAAGATCATCCATTTTCCACTTACTTCTGGCTGATACTGATTGAGAGGTAATATTTGTTCAATGACCCCAGCTCTTGCTAAGCTATTCCACGGTAATGGAATTTTCAATTTTAATATTAAAAGGAAAATGATGCTACCTTTCAAACTGTGACCTCTACTACCTAGAAGGACAAGGACAGCAGACGTATGAGAACATCACTCCCTGCAAGTCCCTCAAACCATACACCACACTGACTTGGAAATATAGTGCTTTTCTACAATGTCACTGGGTCAGAATCCTGGAACACACTCCCTGACAACATTGTGGGTTTACTTACAACTCAAAGACAGCAGTGGTTCAAGATGGCAGCTCATCACCGCCTTTTCCAGGGCAGTTAGAGATGGGGAATAAATGCTGGCCTAGCGAGCAACACCCACATCCTGTGGAAGCAGGAATATATTAAGAAAAAAGCCTTTTCTCAAATACCAATTTAAATATTTGGGTGAAAGGTTAATTTTAACACAGTCTCCTTTAGTCATGACCAGCAGAAGTGCAGTTTGTGGGAGCTGTAGCAAAAATTGTGGAGATAAACAACTAATGGATAAATCAATCATTTGGGAGGTTCCGTTGTTGTCTAAAGGAGTGTTGGCAAGGTTGAGAGAAAATAGGGTACAGAGAAATTATTCACTGACGCTATCAGATACTGTCAGGACAGAAAGAGGGATGTGTCCAATTCACCACATTGGCCTAACCTCACACTATAATCTAGTGATAACAGTCCCACTTTTCATACTCTCACTGTTCTGAAGCACATTTTTGTAAAATTTGAGTGCATTTTGATTTGCTGGACAGAGACGGCCCAAAGTGCTTTCGTTATGTGATTTGATCATAGGCTTTGGCAAGCAGGCATTTGTTCCAGCTCTTTGGGTTGAGTTCCAGTAATAACCCCAGCAGTAAAAGGTCAACCAATTCATTTTAACCTTCCACTCACCAGAACACTCTCAGCTCAAAAAGCATTCAATCTCTGAACAACTATCAACCACAACTTGACACAAAGTAATAATTGACTCTGAGCTGTAAAACAGTTGTGAAGATCCACAGGAGAACAGGAAAAGACATAGTAAAAGGTCAGAGATGACCATAAGATGTAGGAGAAGAAGAAGACCATTCAGCCCATCGAGTCTGCTCTGTCAATCAATGAGATCATGGCTGATCTGATAATCCTCAATCCATTTTCCTGTCTTATCCCCAAAACCCTTCATTCCCTACGTTACAAATATGTCTATCTCAGCCTTGAACATATTCAATCATATAGCCTCGACAACTGCCTCCAGTAAATAATTCACCACGGAGGTTAGATGCTTGTCATAAGCTGGAAGTGATCCTTCTGAGGTAAAACTGCCCTCATTCTTCAATTTATACTGTAATCCACAAGTTTTTAAAACCAAATTTGATCTCATGTAATTTCTACTGTCTGTTTGTGATCTCCCAATACCTTTATAAAGCTTTTTTTGTCAGAGAACAGCTTGTTACATGAAAGTCCTAATGATAGGATAAATTATTGACCTAAACTTTGCATCAACAGTTGCAGTGAGGTTGTTGTCCCTCACTGTAAATGTGGGGTAGCTTGATACAGCTTCTGGAATCCATAGGTGGAGTTTTAAGATTCCCCTGCAAGCGTATTTGCAGCCTGGGGTAGGGGAGATGTTAATTAGGATGGGTAACTAGGCTACTGCCTTTCTCTACACCCCGAGATGTCCACAACAAAACTGTGGGTGAATCTGACTTCGTCCAGCCCAGCTGTACTGAGGCTCATTGAGGTCCATGGATGTCCAACTGTTAGTCAGCTAAAAAAACTTTTTCCTCCTTCACTGTTTGAAAGTTTGGGGAAAATGGAATGAAGGAAGCTAGCCTGCTATTTCTACTCACTTCCAACTCAGGAGGAAGGGGTGGGGGAGAAGGTCACAATTCCTGTGGGCCGCCTGTATCTACTGGGGGCTTGACCCTGCAAGCTCCATCCCCAGCCTCTTCTTTGAGACGCTCCCACTCCAACACAAAACCCCACCCCCAAAACCTCCACCCCATCCTGCAGCCTCCTCCACCCACAATTTCTCCCTGAGCGAAATCCCCCAACTCACCTTGATCTGTTCGCCAGATTGACTTCCTTCTCAGGAATGCTTCTAGTCCTAGCAGGGTCCACTGCTGTGTTGTGGTGCTGCATGGATGCCAGATTGGCCTGCTGCATTCGAGGGCAAACATTTCCTTTCTTTGAGAAGAGTAAGTCACATTAATTAGTTTGCTAAGAGCCCACAGCAAAATATTGCTGCAGGGCAGCCCTTCCTAAAGTCAGCCAGTTTGTAACCATGTTCTTCTTTCGTGTCAACAGGCAATACATCTCCATCTCTGTAAAATTCAACCGACATCTATGTAGTTAAACTACTATGTTCCAATGTTCCTAAGTATCGAAGCCTTTCCACCATCAACAGGGCACCAGTCAGGAGTGCGGTGGTTAACTCGCAATGTGCCTAGCTGAGTGTGGCTCGAACAACATTCAATAAGCTTAACGCCATACATGTCAAAGCAGCCCACATCCACAACATTATATCTCTATCACCCACAGTCAGTGGTAGCAATGTGCACCATCTACAAAATGCCTGGCAGAAATTCACCATGTGATAGCAGTTTCCAGTGCAGACCTTGAGTGGGCCCGGTGCAGGGGAGAGCGAGCCCAGCGTGGACCTTGATTGAGCCATTATTTGCTTTACCGAGGCAAGCATGGGACCTGGCATCAGAATTGACGGCTGCTATACTGGTGGAGGGAACGTTGGCAAGGTAGTGAAAGATGGTGCCTGAGGATCGGTGACTTCATCATTGGTTGGGTCCGGTGCTGGTGGTGGTGAAGCGGTGGTGGAAGAGCATCACGCTGACATAGACTAGGTGGGCCCAGCGGCAAGAGATGTGACTTTGACATTGTTTGGTCTGGTGAAGGCAAGGAGGTGAAGGGGGAGTATTGGCCCAGCGTCAAAAGATGGTACCTGAGGATTGGTAACTTTGATGTTGATTGAGCCCTGTGTAGACAGTGGTGAAGTGGTGGAGGAGGGATGGCAGCACAGGCATTGTTGATGGTGATAAAATGACTAATGGATTCTCTCTTCAGTCAAATCTTTTTTTCTTTTCGTTATTCTTAAATTATTCAACATGGCAACAAATCATGGCAACAAATGAAAACTTTTCACTGTATTTCATTGTATTCTTACTGTAAAATACACTCGACAATAAAATCATTCATTCATCATTCAAAATCATTCATTCATTCATTCTCCACTCGCACTTAGAAGTATATCGCCATTCCTACAGTGTCGCTCGGTCCAAATCCTGCGACTCCCTCCCTAATGGCATTGTAAGTCTATCTACACCCAATGGATCACAACAGTTCAAGAAGGTACTCACAACCACATTCTCCAGAGCAATTAGGGATAGATAATAAATGCCGGATTAACCAGCAAAGCCCCAATTCAGTGAACAAATAATAAAAAATTCAAACTCAGAAAGATTCCACTTAAAAGTTGATGAAAAGTCACCCAGCAACTGCCAGTGTGATGAACAATGAGCACCATTCTTTAAGTGTTCACCGCAAAAGCCAAGCCACTATTTATCGACAGTTTCGCTTAATATTTTCCAGAACAATGCTCTTGACGTTTTATCTGGCTCTTCTAATTTATAAAATGTGCTGAGTGGAAGTCACAGATATGTTTGTCCCTTGTAAAGGGATGGTAACACTGAATAAAAACTGAAAGACCTGCAGATGCTGTAAATCAGAAAAAAAAAATAGAGATTGTTGGAAAAACTCAGCAGGTCTGGCAGCATCTTTGGAGAGAAGTCAGAGTTAACGTTTCCAGTCAAGTGACCCTTCCTCAGAACTGACGATAGGTAGGAAAACATTTGTTTATATGCAGAAGGTAGGGTTGGGGGAGGGCAGTAAGGAGTAAACAATAGGTAGGGATAAAGCCCAAAGAGACAGAAGAATAGTTCAACAGACAAGGAGTGGATAACAATCTGGCTAGGAGACTGTTAGTGGCTAAAAATGGGTTCTGTGTAATAGCACACTATGTGATAACAAGGCCTGGGTCTGTGGGGGTTGGGTTAAAGACATGGGAGATCTCAAGCCCTAAAGTTATTGAACTCTATTATGAGTCCGGAAGGCTGCAGGGTCCCCAAGTGGACAATAAGGTGCTGTTCTTCCAGCTTACACTGAGACTCACTGGAGCACTGCAGCAAACTTGAGACAGAGATGTTGACCAGGGAACACAGTGGTATGTTGAAGTGGCAGGCAACTGGAAGTTTTCTGTCAACAAAAAAAAACCATGAATTTCCAACTGATATAAGGATGTGGTTGAATTCTGCCATACATGTCATACGTGTCAAGCAATAGGAAAACCTCAGGCAGTGATAAAGCCCACACTCACAATACTCATTTCTGTATTTGAGGAACCTTTCACAAGAGTATTAATTGATTGCATAGGAATCTATCTAAACAAAAAGTGGGAATCAGTATTTGTTGACTATAATGGATGTGTTTAGTAAGTCCCAGAGACCACTCCATTATACAGTATCATGGCTAAAAGGATTGCAGAAGAGTAACTCAATTTTTTTTTACTGGATATAGACTACACACAGAAATGCAATCGGATCAAGGGTCAAATTTTAAATCAAAATCATTCAAGGAAGTTATGGATAACTCAGGAATATAACAATTCAAATCCACTATGTGCCATCAAGAATAGCAAGGAGCATTAGAATGATGGAATCAAACTTTAAAGACCATGTTGATACCTTGTAATCAAGACTATTCAGAGGATTGGAATAAGGAAATTCCATTCATACATTTTGCAACTAGGGATGCACTTAATGAATCAGCTAAATTCAGTCAATTTGAGTTTGTTTTTGGGCATGAGGTGAGAGGATCACTGAAATTAATTAAGGAAAAATTGGTGAGTCAGAGTTCAGAGACTACATATTTGGAATACGTGTCAAATTTTAGGGAAAGATTAAATAAAGTGGATCAATTGGCTAGACAGCATTTGAAAGTACCACAGCATGTGATGAAACAGGAAGCAGACAAGAAATCAAAATTCATAATTTTACCAGTGGAGATAAAGTGTTGGTGTTATTCCCAATGGCAGGTGAACCATTAAAGGTAAGGTTTAGTGGCCTTATCAAATCAAAAGGAAGTTGAGTGAGGTTAATTATTTAATAAGAATGTCAGATAGAAAGAAGTCTCACAAAGTGTATCATGTGAATGTGCTCAAAAGATTATTTTAATAGGGAAGGAAAGAAAAAGGAGAATGTGTTACTGGCTACAACACAGAGTGAAGAACCAAATTCAGATTATTCTAAATTGGACATTCCACAAATTAAGTTGAACAATGTGGAAGTTCTCAAAGATTGGGATAAATTGAGTTACCTTCCAGAGGAAAATTGAAATGACCTGGAAGAGTTATTACAATCACATGAGGAGATACGTGGGAATAAGATGGAAAGTATTAATCTGATTATGCATGCTGTATGTATAGGAAATGCTGTTCCAATTAGGCAACATCCTTGTAGACTTAACCCTCTAAAGGTGGCACAGGTTCAAAAAGAGATTGAACGCATGCTCAAAGATGATACAATTGAAGTGAGTTGCAGTGAATTGAGCTCACTCATAGTAATGGTGCCAAAACCAGATGGTACCCAACGATTATGTTGTGGACTATTGCAATGTCAATGCAGGTATAAAATCTGATTCAGATCCTATTCCACATTTGGAAGTCTGTATTGAGAAGGTGGGAGAAGCAACTTATATTTCTAATTTGTACTTACTCAGAGGATACTGGCAGATACCTTTATCTGAAAGAGTGAGGGAAATTTCAGCTTTCCTGATGCCGAATGGACTGTACCAGTTTAAAGTCATACCATTTGGTATGAAAAATGAGCCAGTCATATTTCAAAGACCAATCAATAAAGTCATTTCTGGATTGACCAATAGTGTGGTGTACATCAACGATCTGGTAACTTCTAGTCACACATGGAAGGAACATTTGGAGACTCTATTGGAATCTTTCAATCAACTTCAGGAGGCAGGCTTGGTGGTAAACTTAGCTAGGAGTGGGCTTGTAAAAGCCCAAGTCATGCTCCTGGGCTATATCATTGGACATGGACAAATGGCCCCCCGGGTTGTGAAAACAGAGGTTATTGGGGAGTTTCTCATACTATCAACAAAGAAGGCAGTACTACAATTTCTGGGATTGAGTGTCTTTTTATTGGAAGTTTGTACTGAATTCTAGCAGTGTGGATGTTCTGCTGACTGACTTGTTGAAGAAGTGCAGAAAATTTCATTGTCTGGAGGAATGTCAGAAGGCATTTGACAGCCTAAAACCTGTGTTAAACACTGTCACAATGTTAGCCACACTTAATTATGCAAAGCCATTCAAAGTGGCTATCGATGCAAGTGATGTGGGTGTCAGTGCTGTACTCTGCAACAATACAATGAGAAGATATAAAGGCCTTTCGAATAATCATCAATAGAAATATTCCACAATTGAGAAGGAGCCCTCGAGTTTGGCATTAGTGTTGCAAAATTTCAACACTTATATTGCCAATAATGTGTCTGAGACAATTATATTTATACTGATTATAACCACTTAAGGTTTTAGGGAAAATTTAAGGATTAAAACACAAGAAAGTTTAGATGCAGCTTGTTATTGCAGCCATTCAATTTGAAAATTATATGTGGCAGAATGGGAAAATGTAATTGCCAATGCATGGTCATGACTGTGATGGAGGAAGATAGAGGCACTTGGTGTTGGGAAATGGACTATAGTCATGAATGTTTGTATGCTTAGTGTCAATGTAATGTATGTGTATTGTAGTGTACTAATAGTGTAGGACTAGAGGTTTTTAGAAATGAAGTCATCTTTGCATATTGATGGTTCTTTTTTATGGGGGTAGGTATGATAATACTATGGCTTTAAGAGGTGTAATTGTGTCTTTTCTTTATGAAGAGAGGTTGAGACAGAGGTATTGAGCAATCTGCTCAAAGTCAATAAAGTAAGCAGCTTATGAGGTCTTGAATTTTTTTAAAGTTAGAACAATAGAAGCAGCCTGAATGTGTGGTGTCAAGCTCCCACAGAACCAGGATTTTTAGTTTTAGCTTTCAGCAGTTGCTGGTGTGATGAAGCTGGATGTGGAATCTCTTATTCCTCATCTTTGTGTAACAGTTAAAAG